AAGATAAAATCTAGCTTAGTTGGTTTGTTTTGTTTTCAGCTGTTTAGTTCCTCATATACAGTGTATACGAGTCCCTTGTTGGGTAACTAATGTGTCAAGTATTTCCTCCCATTCCATAACTTGCCTTTTCATTCCGCTGTTTTTATTCGCTGCAGATGCTTTTTAGTTTTTATGGTACATTTGTCTGTTTTTGTTTTTGTTGCCCGTACTGCACCTGTGTCTGCCAAAAATTCTTTGCCCATACCAGTGTTCTGAAGTGAGTCCCTGTGCTCTTCTAATCAGCTCATGGTTTCAGGTTTTGCATCTAAGCCTTTCATTTATTTTGAATTGACTTTTGTAAATCGTGAAAGATAGTGGTCTAGCTTCATTCTTCTGCACATGGGCGTTCAGATTCTCAGCACCATTTATTTATTTTTTTTTTCTAACAAAGTATGGAACTTATTAAGACATTAATGGACAGAAGGGATAGAAGCCCGTCTCAGCCAGCGGTTTATTGGAGAGACTGTCCTTTTGCCAATATGTACTCTTCACATGCTTACTTGAAATCATTTTGGCTGTAAATATGTGGATTTATTTCTGGATTCCAGTTCTGTTCCCCTAATTGATGTCTGTTTTTGCCAGGACCATATTGGTTTGATTACAATAGCTTTTGATTTTTTTTTTTTTTTTTTTCTGGTACTGGGAATTGAACTCAGGACATTACGCTTGCCAGGCAGGCGCTTGTGCCACTGAGCTATATCCCTGGCTTACAATAGCTTTGGAATATGTCTTGAAGTCAGGTATTGTGATGCTCTCAGCTTTGTTCTTTTTTGCTAAAGATTGTTTTGCCTACTCTGGGTGTTTTGTGGTTCCACACAAATTTTATTGTCTTTTTTTCTCGCTATGTAAATGTCACTGAAATTTTGATTGGGATAACAGTGACTATAGTTTTTTTGGGTAGTGTGGACATTTTAACAATGTTAATTCTTCTAATCTACAAACTTAGGATGTCTTCATGTCCCGTGTGTGTGTGTGTGTGTGTGTGTGTGTGTGTGTGTGTGTGTATGTATTCTTCATTTTCTTTCATTTCTTTTCACTTTATTCCTAGGGGTTTTGTTGTTGTTAGTGTTTTAAATGGAATTGTTTACTTTCGGTTCGTCCATTATTGTCTTATAAAAATGCTATTAACTTTTCTGTGCTGCTGCTTTTTCTTTTTGAGACAGGGTCTTGCTGTGTAGCCCATGCTGGCCTTGAATGCACTATGTAGCCAAGACTGGAGTCCAACTCACTGATTCTCCTGCCTCAGCCTCCCAAGTGCTAGGATTACAGGCATGCACCACCATGCCCAGCTCTGTGCTACTTTCATATCCTACCACTTTACTGAATTCTTTTATTAGTTCTAACAGTTTTTGTGTGTGAAATATTTAGGTTTCTCTACAACAAGACCCTGTTGTGTGTACACAGGAATAATTGCACTTTACCCTTTTGAATTTGGATACCCTTTTTTTATTACTACCTAATAGCTCTGGCTAAGACTCTCTAGCACAATGTTAAGAGCAGTAAAAATGGGCATCTTCATCTTACTCCAGATCTTACAAGAAAGTCTTGCAAATTTTCCTCACATAATATTTTCTTGTCATCTATGGCCCTCACTGTGGGGGTGCATTCTTTCTATACTTATTTAGTTGAGAATTTTTGTCATGAATGAATGTTACATTTTGTCAGATACTTTTTCTCTGCCTGTGAGGTGATCACGTGGTTTTGCCCTTCATTCTGTCAATATGAGAAATCGTACTTATCGGCTTGAGGGTTGAACCGTCCTTGCATTCCTGCAGTAAACACCAGCTGACCATAATATATAACCTTTCTTCTGTGCTGCTAGATTCAGTTTGTTAACATTTTTGAGGATGTTTACATCTATATTTATAGGTCATCTGTTGGCCTATAATTTTCTTTTTTGGTTGGGTCTTTGTCTGGTTTTGGTACCAGGATAATGCTGGCCTCATGGAATGAGTTTGAAAGAATTTCCTCTATATTAATGGTTGGAATAGCTTGCAAAGAATTGGTAGTAATTCCTTAAGTGTTTGGTAGAATTCATTAGTAAAGCCATCAGGTTCTGGATGTTGCTTTGAAGGGAGATTTTCTATCATGGTTTTGGCATCATTATTCAGTATTGATCTGTTTAGATTTATTTAGGTTTCAGTGTTAGTAGGGTGTACATATCCAGGAATTTATCCATTTCTTATAGTTTTCTAATTTATGGATGTATAACTGCTGATAGTAGTTCCTTATGATCCTTTGTGTTTCTGTGTTATTGTTTGCAATGTTCCCCATTTTACCTTTGGTTTGTCTTTTTTCCTTAGTCTAGATAAAAGCTGTTCATTTGTCTTTTCAAAGAATCAGTTTATTTTGTGGAGGCTTTACACTTTTTAGTCTTTGTTTATTTTTGTTCTAATCTTTATTATGTCTGTCCTTCTACCAATTTTGTGCTTGGTAGATTCTTGCTTTTCTGGTTCCTTGAGGTATATCATTAGGTTATTTATTTGAAATTTTTCTACTTTTTGATATAGAATTTTTTGGTTTAAATTTCTCTCTTATTACTACTCCGCTGTATCTCATAGGTTTTGATGTTTTGTACTTCTGCTTTCATTTGATTTAAGAAATTTTAAAATTTCTCTTTTAATGCATTCATTGACTAATTGTCACTCAGCAACACATTGTTTAATTTCTGTGTACTTGTACAGTTCCAAAGTCCATCTTGCTGTTGGTTTTTAGTTTTATGCTATTTTATTTTTATTCTACTTAGTTTTATTCAATTCTAATTATATATATATAATTTTGACTTTTAGAAAATAATAAAATAATATAGATATTACTTTGACTTTTATAAACTTGCTGAGACTTACTGTGTAGCCTAACATACGCTCCATGGATAATACTCTATGTATTATTCTCTGATTGAGAATGATGTATATTCTGCAGCTAGTGGATGAAGTGTTCTTTAGATATCTGTCAGATCCATTTGTCTATGGTACAGCTAATTCCTGGTATTTCGTTGTTGATTTTCTGCCTGGTCTGTCTGCTGTCAAAAGTGAAACATTGAAGTTTGAAACTGCTATTGTCTTCGAGTCTATCCCTCCTTTTAGATCGCTCTTGCTTCAAAAGTTTGGGTACTGTGGCTTTGGGTGCATATATAGTTGTAATTGCTATATCTTCTTGAACTGTTCCCTTTATTTTTTATAATATTCTTCTTTGTCTCTGTTTACAGGTTTTGACTTTGATGTGTAACTTATCTGATATAACAGCGCAGCCAGTGCTGACCGCCTCTGGTTTCCATTTGCATGGGATTTCATATTCCATCCCTTCACTTTCAATCCGTGTGTGTTTCTACCAGCCAAATGGCTTTCTGGCAGGCAGACATAGTTTTATTTCATACAACCCCATCTTCCTCTCACTGTTTATCTTTGAGGTTTAGTGCTGTTCTGCCATGATAAGGTTTGGTCACTTTCCTCTCTCGTTTATGTACCTGTCACATCTGTGAGTTATACTTCTGTGTGTCTTCGGTGGCAGTTACCATCTGTTAGTGTTCCTGAAGCTTTTAAGATTCCCTTAAGCTTTTCTTTTAGGGTGAGTCTAGCAGTGACAGAGTCCCTTAATGTTTGCTCAGCTTGGAGAGCCTGGTTATTATTATTATTATTATTTTTTTTTTGTCTTTTGGAGACAGGGTCTCACTGTGCAGTTCAGGCTGGCCTTGAGCTCACTTTGTAGCCCAGGCTGGCCTTGAACTCACAGTGATCCTCCTGCCTCAGCCTCTGGAGTGCTGGGATTACAGGCGTGCATCACCACGCCTGGCTGGCCTGGTTAGTTTTTAAAACTATCTTGTAAAGATAGTTATTTGGTACTTCTTGGTATTTCTCTTAAGAATTATTGGTATGCTGAAATTTTCTACCTTTCAAAAAATCTTTGGTAATTTTTCTTGAAGTTGCTCAGTTTGTCTTTCAAGACATCCATATTTTATCTCTGTCAGCACTTTCTCTTTAAACCTTCTCGAATTTCCCTGTTATACCCAATCAAAGACAATCAGTCAAGAGTAAACGCTTCCTGCTCTTAGGAAATCAGGAAGCATGCTGATTTCCTAACCGTCTTACGCACCTTCTAAGCTATGTTCTTGGTCTTTCCCGGCCCGCTGTGACCTGCAGATCTTAGCACAAGTTCTTCTTCCACTATGAAATCACTTATGTCTCTTCTAATGTTTATATCTTTATTTTCTAGCCTGTCTCTCATTTACAAGTTTTATTCCTGGTGATATTTCTATACTACATCATTTACTACTGTTTTGTGCATGTAGTCATACCTATCTAATAATAATGTGGCCTAGATTTTTATTTCATATTATCTAGAATGAAATACAGTCTATACCTAGTGCAAAAAAAAAAAAAAGTAAAGCCCTGAATTTGGTTTGTTGATGAGAATCACAAATTATCATTTATATTTACATATGCATATGTATATTTTGAATTTCTAGATATCTATATTTTAATAAAAATGTCTGAACTTCATTTGAGAGAATAACCTAAGAATGGAATATTGTTTTTTCTAGTTTGTCCTGTTATACTGAGAAATATTTTGCCCTACATACTGTATATTAAAGTCTCTGTCAAAACAAAGGATGTTTTTCTTAGTATTTAAACTTTAGTCTTTACCTATATTTGGGGAAATAAATTATGCATGAATATAAAGGTCAAGTTTTAGAGGCAGAGGAAATAAAAGTGAACAGTATGAGCCTACCCAAATCTTTTAACTTTATTTGCTTTCTTATAAAGTGATAATAACAACATACATCTCAGAGAAAAATTTTTGAGGATTAATTAAAATATTATATTTAAAAGTATTTAAAGAACAAGACATCTGCTAGGTATCATAATAAACACTCCAAAGATAGTCAAGTACAAAGTAGTTATCTACATGCACATAGAAATTAATAATTTCTGAGATAATTTTTCTGTTTCTCTGATGCTTAGGCCGAAAATTCTCAGCATATACAAGGATTCAGAAAACCACTGGGTTCGTCAATCTTTTCTCCTACACTCAGCAATCAATCTAATGCCTATAAAAAGGAAAAAGACTCCACTTCATTTGCAGGTAGGCAAATCGCATATTTACATCAAAATCACTTAAAGTTAACTGCATCAAAATTTAGTATTAAGAAACTCTTTTACAAAGGAAATGAGGAAGACTTGGTCAGAGTACCTTAACATGTCATGACTTAGCACCTAAAGATTCTACTGCGGAGATGGTGAAGCACAGCTCCCTTAGTGTCTTCTGTGATCTTTCAAGCCTTCCCATTCCCCGCTGAACCTCTAGCAGGCTGTGCTCTAAGCAGACTTCTCTACCTGCCTCTTGTTCACCTTTAATAGCAGACTTTGGGTTGCACTTAAGTCTGACAACGGGTCCCTCAAAGATATTTGTTACTTCAAACAAGAAGTCGATCAGCAAGGCGCGCCCGTGTTTGGTGAACGTAAAGCCTTAACAATGTTATCGGAGGTCGCTTCTTCCAGCTTTGTCACCTGCCTTAACAGGAAGCTTGTTCTCCTAGACCTGCTGCACACACGGTGACTGCTATCTGAGATAACCGGGATAACAACACCCACTGAAAGAGAAGCTTTTTATCTCTTTGTAAGAATAGAAAAGTGCTCCACCTCAGCAGGCTTCTCCTTGTGTCTCCTCAGCTGGAATAGTCCCAGGCATTTGTGTCTAACACGTCATCATCGGCTTACATCAGTTTTCCCAACTTTTGTAACAGCTCACAGTAAGAAAGACTTTTTACATCACAGCCCTGCGTGCATCAGGCGTCCCCTTAGAAATGTAAAAGCGATGAATGTGTCAGGTGAAGGTGATTTAGCTGCGTGGAATCAGGACTGTCTTTCTCGTCTTAGCTGAGCTCCCCTGCAGTATCTGTGTTTGGTTCAGCTATTCCCAAGGGCGCATGCGTTACCTTCTATCGCACTTGATTCCACTTCATTTTTAAAAATGCTGGCCATGAAACACTAACCTGGTTTCACCACACATAAATGGGGACAGCTCACATCCTCGAAAGTATACAATTAGATCGCTCAAGATTTGCACCTTTGAGCTGAGAAGGGCCCGGCCTCCGTCCCCGGGAGCGGCTGTCTGGGGAGGTAAGATCTGGGGCCGCTTGTAAGGACCTCGGGGAAGGCTGCGGAGTGGCCACCCACTGTCCTCCCGTCCTCCCAGCCTTCCGTTTGGACGCCGCACTCCGGAGTGGCCTCTTGGCAGGACGCGGTCCTCCGTCAGCAAAGCACGTCCCTCTTTATGAAATTTCCCAAGTCTTTTTACAGAAGCATTTTATATGACTTTTTTTTTTTTTTTTCAGTTTTATTTTTGCCTTCTTTTGAGACAGGCTCTTGCTATGCAGTTCAGGCTGACCTTGAGCTTGAGAGCTCACTTTGTAGCCCAGGCTAGCCTCAAACTTGCAACGATCCTCCTGCCTCAGCCTCCCAAGTGCTGCGACTACAGACATGTGCTACCATGCCTGGCCTATATAACTTGTTTTAAAACATACAAGTCCCATGTTATATTTTTCCTTTTGAGAAAGGAGTCCTAGCACAGGGAACTGTCGATACAAGTAAACTCTCTGAACCCCTTTCCTCTCTGCTAGCTATTGTTTATTTCAGTGTCCTTGCAAGGAGCTCTTTCAGTCTTGGAAGTCTGTGTCCTACTCTTAGTCAAATCTTGTTACCACTTTAATATTTCCATTCTCATTCTCCCTCTTGAACTGATGATTCTAAAGTCTCATAACGTAGCCGAGATACAACTGTCCAGTAACTCTGAGGGATGTGCCTGTCCCTCGTACGTGGTTGCCCAGGGTTATTTTGCATAATTAGACCCCTCGGTGTGTTTCAGAGAGTTCCCGGTGTGGCTGGGCATTTGGGAGTAAAGAAAGTAAGACAGATGAAAGCGTCCACTGGGAGCTCTTACACCTCCTGCATATCTGTCCGGAGGAAAAGTCACATAAAAATACATGCCAACCCAAATAAGGTTACCACGCCCTCACTGTCTGTAGTGCCATATTTTTTCCTTCTCTGATATTTTGTCCACTTTCCAGTGTACTCACAAAAATTGTAAAACTGTAATGGATCCAGTTAAAATAGTTTATTTCCTGAAAGGCTTTTTCATGTTATAATGTGTAGGACCCTTCTCCTTTGGTAGGAGAAATGAGAACTTACCTGAATCTAGGTTGAAAAGCTTGTGTAAAAAGAAATGACAATAAAAGGGATATTTTGTTCTGCTGTGTCTAGCCAGAACAAAGCCTCATGCAGTCACAGGTGAGGCTTTTTCCGAGGCGCCTGGGTGAGGTGTGAGGGGCAGGAAGAGCTGTGGCTGTGGCTCCTCCCTGCCTTGCTTTGCTGTCCTCTGCCCGCCCCCAGCTGCGTCTCCTCCGCCATGCCACCCTGCCTTGGGGCCAGCCGACTATGGACTAACACCTCCTACACACTGTGACCCAAGTAAACCTTTCCTCCTGTAACTTTCAGTATTGGATATTTTATGAGAAAAAGTAACTAACACACTTTGTCGTTCAAAAAATAAAAGTCCCACATTAAGACTTCTGGGAAAGCTGGAAAAAATCAATACAAGTTCATCCTGTCTAAAAGTAATAACAAAAACAGAAAAACAGAGAAGAAACATTTCTTAAATTGAACGTGACAAGATATTTATTCTGGGGAAAATCTGCCATGAGTTACAAAATGAAAGAACTTGGAGGAATGTTCCAGAAGACAATGCACAATTGCATTTCTTGAGGAAAATGAGCAGCATTGAAAGAGCCAGCAGAAAATATCCTGCCAATGGCCAGATATGGTGGCACATGTCTCTAATGCCAGCACTCGGGAGGCTGAGGCAGAAGGATCACTGCCAGTTTGAGGCCAGCTTGAACTACATAGTGAGACCCTGTCTCAACAAACAAACAAACAAAAAAGATTCACAATGCCCGCACAAACGCACTCATCACCAAGGCAGGCAGTTTATCAGTGATGAGGGGCAGAGAGCTGGGAACTCTCTCTGTGGGGCCCTGTCCTCGCTGCAGGCCGACAGCACCCAAGGCCATAGCTGCAGTATCTGGAAAGACACGTGCAGCCGTAGTTATTCTCTCTGGCTTTCCACCACCAACTTAAGAAGATAATAATGACCTGACTCAGAGGAAGAAGGCCTGGAAGGGAAGGTTTGCGCCAGGGGAGATGCGGCCTGGTTTCCTCAGAGCCATCTCTTGGTGCGTGCTCTGAGGGAAGCCGCAAAGGGAAAACCGACCGACCCGACAGCCCAGGAGCCACGGGCCTTTTCCAACCTGAGTTCCTCCCCATGCTGAGTTGCTGAACCCAAAAGAGAGAAAGAGAAGAACTCAACGGATCCAGGTAAATAGGGAGAGAATCCAGCACTGTTATTTTTGGACAAATAGTGAACCCCCTTTTAAATGAGCTCATTCCAAGATGAGCACAAAGAAAAACAAAACAATGAAATCTGTGCAAAAATTCTGTAGCAAAAAAAAAAAGGAAATAATTTAAAAGGCATCTGATGGCCACATTTGGACAGAATTTATACCCTATGGGACAGCGGAAAATTTATAAAATAATTGTTCTGTACTCGAAAGAAGCCAAAGGAAACAAAAATCCTATGGAATGGGATTGGAAAATGTAATTTAGTATAAACCTCGAGGACAAAATGATGCCACCAAAGCTCAAAGTAGCCAAAACCCACAACTTGAAGAGGGGTTTGTGTGACTCAAGTTTTCGGTCCACGCTTGGCTGGCTGCCCGGCAGGTGGAGGACAGCTGAGCCCGGCGGAGGGGGCAGCTCACCTCGTGGCTCACAGGAAGCAGAGAGAGAAGGGAGGAGCCTGGGAGGGAGGGGAGCCCTTGCAGGCCGCTCCAGGGACCCCGCTCCTGACCTGCCCCCTGACTGCTAGCTGGCTGTGAGCCGGGTGACCCAGTCACCTCCAAAAGCCCGGCCTCTGAAACTTTGAGGCATCTGGGGGACGTTCCAGACCGGAACCAAGCGCCTTTCTCCCATGAAAAATCTCTAAGACCCTGTTTGTTTGATCTCAACACAACATTAAACTCTGGCCCCATCTTGTGCATTCAGAAAGTGCTCCCTGAGCAGCTCCCACACGTCCAAACTTATTGGAAAGGGTAAAACACCTTATACAAAGTATTTTCTCCATGCCATAGCATATGCATCTCTTATGCAGATCTTTTATCATTTCAGTCCAACTTGAAAACAAAACCAGTGAACCACTGGCTTCCACCGGCCATTTGGAAGATTCCGGAAACGAAAGGTGCGTCCTTGTATTCTATTCAGTGATGTTTCTATTAGGGTGAGCTTTACCCGTTTTTTGCAATGGATCAGAGCTAATTTGCTGGCGCATTATTAACGTCTCGTCCCGCAGCGCCTCCCGGTGAACGGTCCAAGACAGAGCAGCCGGCTGGCAGCCGGTCAGGGCCTGGAGCACCGCCAGGCGGAGAAAAGGCCGGGAGGAAGCAGGGACAGCAGTTCACCTCTGCAGTGGACGCACAGATTTAAGTCATTACACCCCCACGCGAATGTGAAAAAGTAGCTCTTTAACATTCTGCAGAAAGTTTCCGATTGTTTTCACGAGCCCCTCCCGCGCTGTGTCAGAAGAGCCCTCCCACGCGTCTAGGGAGTTGGGGGTCTTGTGCGGAGCGGTGCTGGACAGCGCGTTAGGTCTCTGGTCCTGTCTCCCTCCTAGACAGTATCTGCGGAGCTCGGGCTGCAGGCCGCGTGAACTGCGGGCAGCGAGCCGACGCGCCCGAGCGGGGGTCCCAGGGGCGGCGTCCGTGTGTTCTGTCGGGCCAATGGCACCCGGTGCCCTCCTGCAGACACGGGCCGTGAGCGCCTGGTCGTTCTCTAAGCTCGGCCGCGTCCTCCGTCTTTGCTCTCCGCAGAGGAGGCTATCCATCCACCAAGGCGAACCTTCGCTAGGGGCCACCTCCAGCCACAGGACAGACTCACTGTCCACATCCCGCGGGAGGCGTTCCAGGGAGACCTGGAATGGAATCTGTCCATCCTCTCGGCCACGCCGGGGCCACCTCGGTCAGCACGAAGCTCCCTTGAGAGCTGACAGAGGAGGTGACCAGTGCCTGGGGCTTCTCCTCGGTCTACAGATTCTATCGTCAAAGCCTCAGGCGCACATGCATGGCTCCAACGCTGCTCTCGCCCTTTGCTCCCCAGACCCGGGCAGGGCAGGACAAGGTGGCCTCCGCTTGACAGTTCCGTGGCAGGGCCGCTGGCAGCGTGTGCAGTGGGTTCTGGGGACACAGAGGGGCAGGGCAGAGCCAACAAGCTGAGGTCAGCCCTGTACACAGCGCCCTGTTCGTTTTCAGAACGGAATATCCTCCTCCGGGGGCGGACTGGCGGTCAGGAGAAAATCAGTCAGCCACCCGCTCGGGGAGAAGGGTCGGCCTGCTGCCCCTGTGCTTTGAGGATGAGCTGAAAAACCCAGCCGCCAAGATCATCCACGCGCCCCCGGCGGCGGCGAGGAGCGCACCTTCGCACACGGTAACAGGAGCCTCTGCTGCTGTGGGGTGGACGTGAGCCTCTTGAAGGCGGGAGAGGCTGTCCGCTTGGAGAGCCGGCCGGCCAGGGACCACCGAGGACAGCCCAACCGCGCCCCACACTGAGGGGCGACAGTATTTCCTTGTTTTGTTTTACAGGCTGGAGACTGAACTTGAGGCTATTGCACTAAGCGACCACCCCGGTCTTTTCTATTTATTTATTTTTTTTTAGTAAAGTTCTTGCTAAGTTGCCCGGGTTGGGCTCAAATTTGTGATCCTCCTGGCTCAGCCTCTCAGTGCTGGGATTAGAGGCACGTGCAGTCACGCCCCGCGGAGACGATGTTCTGGTCCTGGCACCCTCCCGGGAACAGTTTCCGCGAGCCCTGCTTGTCACCGTTCCGGCTTTCTCTGAACTGGGCACTGCCCACAGGGCAGTGGAGGTGAATCCATGGCGTGGAGCAGGCTGTATCAGCCAAGGCCCTGCAGGGTTCACCACTCGGCCAGAGGTGCTGACTGGCAGAGCGCGGGGCGCTCGCTCTGTGAGCCCAGAGAGCCTGGCAGACACAGCTCCTGCCTCGCCTGAGCCTCAGAGGCCTGTCAGCTGGAAAAGCCCCTCGGGGTGGGATGAACCAGAACCACGGAGACCTTCCACGCTGTGGGTGGTTAAATAAGCAATATTTTCATCACCCGTGATTCGCAGAACGAGATCTTTGCGCATCTCTTCGGTGGCTGGAGGCATCAGTGTCCCCTTTTATACCGGAGTACTCTGGCGGTGACCCCGATTTCTTATTTCACTCGTTATATTTTAAGAGGAAACATGAAAACTATCAACTTAAAATCTGCAAACCAAATGCTGATAATATGCATATTTGACCATTTCTTTGTAATTAATCTTTTTACTCATGGCAAAAAGTAGGGCTTGCGAAAAGTAACAATAAAAATACAGGATAAAGCTTGAAAAGCGGCCTCCTACAGACAGATTTTGTTATTACTGTGATTTATGTATTTATTTATTTATTTATTTATTGTATTGGGAATCGAACGCAGGACCTTGCGCTTGCTAGGCAGGCTCTTGTGCCACTGAGCTATATCCTCAGCCCTACTACTGTGATTTAAATGGTCAGTTTTTAAAGTCAGTCTATTACTTTGGCTACTTTATTCCACAAAAATATAATGAACACTCACTCATGTGCCAAATGTTGTGCTGAGTTCTAGGGCACAATAACTAGTATAGACGCAATTTAAAATTTTTTGAATTATGCACTCCAGTGTCCAGACGCTAAAATGTTGGCTTGTAACCCTGTATGTCTCTGGTGTTCTTTGATTCAACCCATGTTTTGGAGGGGTATATGCTTGGTTATTTCTGGAGCACACGGATCTAAGAAATACCAGCTCAATGTTCCACTCTACCAGCTCTCTTGTAACTCAGATATTTAAGAAATGCATTTATTTCTTCATATCCCACTTTATTTAAAAAAGGATTTTAAAAGAGTAAAGCTTCCAATTTTATTGAGAAGGTAGGGCTGGCCATGGTGGCACTACTTGGGAGGCTGAGGCAGGAGGATTGCCATGAGTTTGAGGCCACCCTAACTCAACCTTGTCTCAAAAAAATACTGAGATGGATTTATAGTATATACAAGGGTCTTGGTTTTATGTATTTAAATACTACTATTTATATTAAATACCTCTGTGTAGCCATTTTTAGAATATTTTACAATTTTATTTTCATGTTTAAGAATATAAGTAGCTTTCTCACCTTGAAAGATTTATGACTAAGGACTCTTTTCTTTCATCCACAGGTACAAGACAACAGTAAACCCATAATTTTCCATGATACACAGTATGTACAAACACTGCTTTTGACAAAAAATAGCTTTCCTGACTGCATTTTGGAAAATGAAAAAATTCATCCATGTAAAAGGACAAATTTTGTTTTAGAAAGAAATTATGAAATCCTCAAATCCTTAATTAATGGTGAATCTGTTACTCTTTCCAAACCCAAAAGAACAGTGCGTACAGCAGGGAGAAGAGACGTACAAGCCAGATCTTACGAGATGGGCCACAGAACCACGAAGAATAAACTGAAGACGAAAACCAGGGATCCGACATTAGAACCCAGATCTGGGAGTGCACCTCACGACTTCTCACAGACTCTTTCCAGCCTGAGAAGAAAAGCTATGTATTACCTTGACGGAACCGCTAATCAAGAAAGAAGTGCTGCAGCTGTCAAATTTGGAAGACTATTTTCTACAGTGAAAACAAGCCCACCCAGATTCAATGCCTTACCTCTCAAAAGTCATTCCAAGCCTTTAAGACATATACTCGACCTACGTAAATTAAACAATGCAACGCCACTGGATGATTTGTTACACCTGCCAAAAGAAAATTAAACAACTCCCAGACTATCATTTATGCAGCAACATTTGGGTAACAAGAAGCAAATAACCAAGGCCTGCAATCACAGAAGAAGTTCTTACCCAAATGGTAATGTTCTGATGAGTAGCATAAAAAAGCAAAGCATAGAAATCGAAGTTAAAGGTGCATAGTGGTCTGGTCAACAGCAATCAACTAGATTGATCCGCTGCCCTTGCTCCTGCAGGGAAGCCTGATTCCTGACCGAAAATGGTGCAGACAGGCTGGAACAAACAACATCAACAATCTTCTGCTATAATTGGCTATCAAAAAATATAAATATCATTGATTTAATAAATGTGGAGTTAATCATATACCAGCATTTTATAGCATCATGGATGGGAATACAGTAGGACATTAGCAATTTATGCAATTAAAAATGCTTTGTAAACTTTTGACTGGCTTTTCTGTTAGCATTTTTAGAACTTCTTTAATACTTTAAAAACACTGTTACATTGCTCTTTTGCAGCTACACTTACTGACGCTCGTGCGGAGATGCGCTCAGGGTGAGTCTGAACAGAAAAATGGTCCTGGGATGATAAGAAGAAAGAAATTGCTTCCCACGAACACATCAGGCTTTTGAAATCTAAAAGATTCATACTCCAGCCTGGGTGTCTTCCACTTAGTCTCCAGGCGAGATGAGCAGAGAAGATTGACAGGGTACTGTGTCATCTTGGGGCTGTCCACACGCATGCCCGTCCCAGAAGTCACTGTGACCTTAATTGCATGTATGAGATGCAGCACATATTCATGAACCCTTAATAAGGTTTGAGTAGAGTAAAGGCAACTGAAGATCAGGCCAGGGCATCTAACACGGGTTCTTGCCTACTCCTTCAGAGATTTCCTGGGGTTTCAAAGATTTCTCAACCGACAAGGGAAAGAGGAATGGCCCATGGTGCTGTCCAAACTCAAGTGAGCAAGGGGAGTGATCTCTCCAGCTCTGATGTTGCAACTGCACTAAACCTCTTGAAGCCCATCACAACTGGCCAGGTTTCAGCCAATCACAGGCAGCCAACTCAGCACACCACAGCCAGATAAAGCAAGTGGCTCATCACACTTTGCTCAAGTGTCTTGGTTATTTTTCTCTCATTGCTAGGACAAAAATTCTACTCAGAGCCACTTTGTGGTGGTTTCCAAAACCATCAACCAATGAATTTTTTTGGGGGGGGCGGTTTCTGGTACTGGGAATCGAACTCATGACCTTGCTCTTGCCAGGCAGGCACTGAGCCATTGAGCTAAATCCCCAGCCCCACCATCAACCAATGAATAGATAAAGATGTGGTTCTTTTATGCAGTGGAGTACTACTGTGCCATAAAAAGGCTAAGCTTGAGACATTTCTAGCTAAATGGATGCACCTTGAGACCATACTCTTAAGTGAAATAAATTGGAGACACACGTTTAAATACTGCATTGCTTCTCTGCTGTGAGAAGCTGAAAGTGTAAAGAAGGACCAAAATGTCTACTAGGTACTGGAAAATGGGAAGAAAACATTCAAATGAAAAGGGGAGCAGGGAGGGGGGGGGAAGGAGAAGGTCAAGAAAAAAGAGAATGGAAGGAAAAATGGAAACAAAGCTTCTGTAAATAAGGAGGGATTGAGGGGTTGTAGGAAGGGGAGGGGAGGGGAATGGGAAAAAAAGAAGAGACAAGATCTGCCATGTACAGGGGCAACTCCCTATGATGGATGTGACCGTTATGGATATCTAAATTGCACCAGGACAAAAAAAATTTTTTTAAAAAATGTTGCACCATGGAGAAGTGTCCTGTGTTCCCGCCGTTAGCCACTGTGGTGATTAAATACTTTTCACAACTGCAGGGCAGTGCTTTTCAAGCAGGCACACTGACACCGCGCCATGATGACGTCACCGAGGAAATGCCTCCTCCACGCCGAGGACGGTGCCCGGCCCCGCCCAGCTGCAAGCCTGCTCCTCCCACGCCTCGGCAATTCGCAATCATACTTCCTCCCGTTGACTTCCGCTTATGGCTCCACTGTGACCACTCACAAGGCACCTGCTCTCTTCCACCTCTTGACCTCTCCTGGTCCACAGGCTTACAGGGGCGGGGCGGGGCGGGGCGGGGCGGGGCAAAACGAAGCAACACCAGTTGCAACTATTATAGGAGATCACTTTCTCACGTAGCTCAGGAGTTCACTGCAGATCTGCAGTTCCCACGAGGATAACAGACATCACAGACATGGCTGGTCAACTCTGAATTCCTGCATGCAGTGAGAAATTCACAGCAGATTACCTGTCTGCTCAGGTGTCAGGAGGGAGGAAGGGCAGTGGAAAGAATACTGATCTCCCAACCTAGCTGGTTGGGAGCGACACTTCCCCTCTATCACCTTCAGCGGTGGAAGAGGACCACTTTCCAGTAAAAGGGAACGGGCAGACCGCAAAGGGAGCTGCCCCGGGTTGCTGTTTTGGGAGAAGGGGGGCGGTGCCCGGCTTGTGTGCTGAGGCTGCAGTTTCTCTCTAAAGTGCGATTTTTAAAATTTCGATTTCCTTGTCTCCTTTCTACCTTACCTCAAAAAACCGTGAGGCAAGTCAAACCTTTGCTGCCTTCCGCTGACTTTCGCAGCTATTTTGTCATCCTGCTGGCGAGCTGGTTCTCACAAACACAGAGCCAGACGTCAGTGTGGGAGGCCGGGGAGGGCGTCCTGCCAAGCGGGAACCGCGGCGGGCAGTGAGAGGTGCAGTACGGAGTCAGAGACTGCGAAGAGCAAGACGAGGCCTCGGGGATGAAACCTCCCAGGGGTGGCAGAGAAGCATTACAGGCAGCGGAATTGGATGGAAATTAATACAGTCAGGGAGGGACCGGGCTCTGAAGGAAGTGCACAGAAAGAATACACACGTCGGCATGCTGGCTGGAGGCGCCGCTGCCGGAGGCCAGGCCTAGCAAGGAGATGCAGCACGGGGCCTGCAGACCTCCCTAGGGGATGAGCAGGACCCCGAGATTACACTACACTCAGCGCCTCCTGGTCCAGGAAGCCCGGATAGGCCTGTCACTCAGGCCGGTGACCGCAGCGTCTGGACCTGGCCCTTCTCACAAAGGCCTTTGTTCTTCCCGATCACCCTGCTCCGTGACCCGCCCCCCTACCGGACCAATACCAGCTAAGCGCTGTACTGTGACCCTGCGGGCTGATCGCTGTTTGACCCACATTGTATCCTTGTGGTGACTTTGCTATGTCAACAGCAAAGGGCCTGACAAAGCGCCTCGGTCCCCTCCCAGGACCCCTCCTGGACATCCAGGAGCTACTCCCCTCCCCTTCCATCCCGTGAGACCCTCCTAGCTTCTTTCTGAGCTTCTCAGCTTCATTCCTCCACGGTGTGGAACGAGGACCTCCGCGCACCTGACCTCTCGCAGGTCGGGAGTTATACTTCTCCTAACCCGAAGGGAGAGCCCGACACGGCAATGGGGTCGAGTGAGAAAGGCGCTGGGTTAGCTCTGTGGGATCAACAGTGACTGGGGAGAGCTCCGGGAGTACAGCTCGTTTGCTGGGAGGTGAAGAGCGAGGAGGGTGGTTATAGGTGGGGCAGAGTGTGATGCATAGGTGGATACGGGAGGCTATTTGCCGAGACTGGAGATCCGCAGAATGGCCTGATTTACAGACATTTGTTCTAAACACACTGAGCGTTTCCGGCCCAACCTGGGGTCTGGGATGCGTTTGTGGAGGGATGCGTCCTGACTGGCGATGGCTTCCACAGGTCACAGTTTCTTTTTCCCAGCTATCCCTCTCCCTTGGATTGAAAACCACTAACCCTGGTGATCGTCCCTTAAATATCTCTGAGGGGAGCGGCTGAGCTGGAGATGGATCACACCTGTGGGGCTAAAGCAAAGCCATCCTGCAAACACAGGGCGGGCGCCCGAGGTGAGCCGGAGGAACAAGTCGTTAGGCAGGTCCCGGCTCCCGCTGGGAGAGGGGCTCCACCCTTATCAGCCTCTTGCCGAGCGTATAAATAAACGCACGGCTGTGTGGGGCGGTTCCTTTCTCCCTGCAGGAGAGGGGCTGCGCCTGACCTCGGCTTTCTGCACTCCGACTCTTGTCTTCCTTTCTTCATCCTCGACAGTCCTCCCCGCAGGAACCTCCAGAGCTGCGCAACTCTTTGCACCCACGTTAATGGATCTTCCCATAAAAGCAGCTCGGTGCCCTGGTCCCAGCGAGGCAGCGCTGTTGAGTGGGGAAGCACAGCGTAGAGCTGAACAGATCAGGGCGCTGCCTGGGGGACGCGGCGCTCACCTAACCCTGCCTCATAAGCCTGGGTTTCCTGCTTGCAAGTTGCTCCACCATCCTTACTTCCTGGAGAGGAAAGGAGCAGACAATGAATGCCGAGGGCAGCATGTTCCTTCCGGCCCATCCGGAGAAGTACGGGGTACTGCAGGGAAGCCCCACGCCATCCACACACTTGGCTTCTCAGCGTTTAAAAAGCGTTGTTTAGAGCTTGTATGACCTTTGCTTCCTGACCATAAAGCAATCAGTGGCACAACTGCAGGTCATCGATCTGGGCTGGGAGGGCCACACCGAAAGAGACTAACAAAAATCCCAGTGTAAGAAGTGGGCATGGAGGTGCACGCCTGTAATCCCAGCACTCTTAGAAGGCTGAGGCAGGAGGATTGCAGGTTTGCACCCTGCCTGGGCTACTCGGTGACTTAGTAAGACCCAGTCTCCAAAAAAAAAAAAAAAAAAAAAAAAATCCCAGTGTAAAAGAGCAAGTGGAAAAACAGGTGTGGTTGCACACACCTGTAATCTGAGCACTTAGGAGGCTGAGGCAGGAGGATCACTGGGAGTTTGAGGCCAGCCTGGCTACACAATGAGTTCAAGGCTAGTTTGAACTACATAGCAAAACCCTGCCTTTCAAAAAAAAAAAAACAAAAAAAAGTGGGCAGTGGGCCAGGCAGTCTGTGGAAGCCAGAGTCAATAATGACTCACTCACAAATACCACACCAGAGATCAAGTTAGCCAGGGCCATACAAAGACATTTCAAACTCAGTGTGTTTAAAGCTGTGGAGGAAATACAGGGAGAAAGAAGTTGTGTGGGTTATGTTTTACAATTGTGCTCAGATTCAGTTTTCCCTCATAGAGGAACATACAGGGGTAATATTTTAATAAAAAAACCATAACTTCATGACAGACTTTTCTGCTAGTAATTCTTCTGAGGAAGACAGAAGTTGCCTTTTTCAAGTAGACTACAAGACTTTTCCCTCAGTGAGGGCAGCTCATGGAATCTTTTCATTATTATTATTTTCTTGTCTTTTTGAGACAGGGTCTTGCTATGCAGTTCAGGCTGGCCTTGAGCTCACTTTGTAGCCCAGGCTGGTCTCAAACTCACAATGATCCTCCTGCCTCAGCCTCCCGAGTGCTGGGATTACAGGTGTGTACAACCACATCTGGCAAAGGATTGAGACGTCTAAAAGGTTGGACAAAATTGAAAACTCTGGCTTCCACAGACTGCCTGGCCCACTTTCTTTTTTTTTGAAAGGCAGGGTTTTGCTATGTAGTTCAAACTGGCCTTGAACTCACTGTGTAGCCAGGCTGGTCTCAAACTCCCAGTGATCCTCCTGCCTCAGTCTCCTAATTTCAATCCTGAGATTCAGTTTTGTCAGATAATGTATGCATCTCCACGTGGGATTAATATTACTCCAGTTAGGATGCAGGTCTGAAGCTTGAAGTATTAAGAAAATTTGTGTGTGTTTATTTTATTGGTACATTTTAGATAAACAATGATAACATTTATCATAGGGAATTTGTACCTGTAGATGATATAGCTTGCTGATTTTTTTCCCCATCTCCCTCCCTTCACCAAGTATGAAAACTTTATCTAATAGTTTAGGTCCTACAATCTGGGAGAAGGACAGAATCTCTGTGGCCACCTCTCTCATCCTCCTGGTCACCCAGTGAAAACGTGTGACCCAGGTAGAACACAGTGTTATAGGCAGCTGAGCTAGACAGAAATATTATAGGCAGTCAGACAGGGCCAGGTCCTCAGCGGAGCCAACATGAAAGACAAGATAAGATACATATTTGCTGTGTGTCAGACCTCAAGACAAAAGATTGAACAAATATACCATATACCTCCCTATGATGGACCTCAGGGATTCATATTCTAAATAGGTAGCGATCACCTTGAGGAGCCCCTGACCCAGCCCCCTACAGGAAAAGCCCCTCTTCTGTCTCCATGCCCGCTTGCTCCCTGACTCGCTTCCCCACTTGATCCCGATTTAATCAATTTTACCTGAATAATTCCATAGTTTTGTCCATGTTCCCCCTACCTTGGATCCACCGCACCTCGGGGTTTTGCTCTATAAAGTCCCTAGAAAAGACAGAGTCCCTGGGCAACCCACTCGGGCCCCTTCTGTCCCTCTCTTGGACAGAAGCTTTCTCTCCCTCAATAAATATATTCTGCTCTTAACCTCCGTTGTTCCTAAAATTCATTCTTCGATTTTAGAGAACACGATCTCACTCCAGATATTGTTCAAGTTGGGAGTTTTAGTGTCAACAGCATCTCCCAGAGCGGGGCTAGCAGCCCAGTGGTTCCTGCTGGTGAGAAGCCCAGCACCCTGCTTGGCCGTGGCCGGACTTCACGTTTGTTAACAGCTGACGTGACCACGCTGAGGTCCTACTGTTGGATCACGCTTTGGGAAAGAACCTTCTGACCACACACTCCCCTCTTCTATCACTTCTGCCGTCCAAGGACACAGTGTCCTTCAGAGGATGCAGCCTTCAAGGCCTTGTCTTGGAAGCAGAATCGGGCCGCACCACGTACCGACACGGGAGTGCCTTGCCGTGGAGCAGCCTCCAGTGAGACATACGTGTCCTTCGTAAGTGGCCCGGCCCAGGGCACTGTGTACCGTGTGGATGGAGTAAAACCCTCCAGTATGAGGCGGGGGGACACGGGAGAGACGCAGGGTTCTGTCTGGACAGAGACGGAAAAGGATGAATTCTTCAGGAGGAAGGGAGGGAGGACCGTGGAGACAGCGCAGGAACCCTGGCTGACGTCCTGCAGCAGAGGCAGGGAGAGGGACAGCCCGTGGAGGTGTGGGCTGGGCCAGGTCTCCGTGCCTTGCTGGCCCTGCTCGCCTTACCAAGAACTTGGTACTGCGACTCTGCCCATGCTGCGACAGCTGGACCTGGAGACACCTGCGGGGGAAGAGGCCGGCAGTGCGCGGTGGTTCCGCTTCCCTGAGGCGCAGGGAGCAGGCGGGTCACCGAGCTGCTCCCGGGGAGGAAGGGGCAGTGCATGGGCGGCGAGGCAGCTGCGCGGGCGGCTGCACCGGTCGGTGCGCGTCGGTATCGGCACCAAGCGGAGCGCTCGCGCGGGGTTGAAGTGCTCAGTGCAACGTGGGTTTTTACCGCCGTCTAAAATCAAGAGAATAAAAGGAAATACAAATATACAGACGAGCATTTAGAGAAACAATTCAAAGTTCATCCTTGCTATTTTAATTAGATAAGTCCTTCCTTGCCTAAGCCCGCGGCGAGGACGCACCTGTGTTTGTTCCGGAAGATGGCCCCGTGCAGGAAGCAGCCCCGGGCCAGCTTAGGTCAGAGACGGGCAGCAGCGGGGTCTGGGGGTCATCTAGCGGCCCCCGGGTGCACAGCCACAGGCGGGGATGTTTCAAGGAATCCTAGAACTGGACCCCAAGCCTTTTACCCTCCAAACGCTTCGCACTTCACCAGTTCCCACGCAGGTTAATCATCTGGCTTATTTTCAGATACACCAACATTTTTCTTAAAAATATCCTCCTTAGTCTGCAGACAAAGTACCTTTGGGTGTTTTCCAGGTTCAAAAGGTCGTAGAAGCCTGAGGCATCGCAGAATGAAATGTCTGTTGAGTGTTTTCTGTGGAGTCAGGTCGGACACTAAGGGCTTTGCCCCTCTGCCAGAGACTGAACGCGCTCTAGTCAAGATGCCTTTGGACAGCACTGGAGGGGCAATCGGAGAACATAGCGAATGTTTGTATTTTAAAAGGTATCAGTCGGAAATGGTGGCGCATGCCAGGAATCCCAGCACTCGGGAGGAGGCTGAGGCAGGAGGATAGCTGTGAGTTCAAGGCCAGTCTGGGCTACAAAGTGAGGTCAAGGCCAGTCTGAACTGTCTCAAAAAACAACGCCCCCAAAAGGCAGTACAGCAAAAGACACATTGTTATTAATCCCGCTCAGCGTATTCAACCCCACCATTCTTGGCTACGTCTTTTACTGTAACACATATTAAAAATGTAAATATTGACTGTATTTCGTGATCACAGCTCGCGGATCAGACGTTTACAGCAATTCCCATCAAAAGCACGCCGCTGTGTTCTCGTCCACCTTCGCCATCGGACCTGGCACCGAGAGACTTCTGGCGGCTCCCCGAAGTCAGAACGACAGGAAGGGGTCGCTTTTGTCTTCTATTAACGGTCCATGTTTGCTGCCCTAACGATTCCGCTCCTCGTGCGGGGCCGGGGCGGGGCCGGAGCGGGGTCATGACCCATCTTTCTTCTTTCTTGCACCCTTCCTTTCTCATCGCTCCCCGTCCCTGTTCCCTATTATCTCTTATTTTGCTCCTTAATTTACGTATCCTTTGGGTAAACATTTTGCATCGGTTCAGGACCTCCGCGCGGCACAACCAGAGTCTCGAGAGAGAGGAGCCGCCGCAGGAAGGGCGCGGGCCGGGGCATCGCTGGGCTGCGAGCGCGGGGTGGGGGGCGCTGAGCGGGGCTCCCCGCAGTGCGTCTTCCGCTGCACCGCACTTTCACAGTCTTCCCAGTCCCGGTCGCGCGGGCCACCCCGAACCCGAGCCCGAGGCCGAGCCGGAG